GTAAGTGTAACAGACTACATAAATTACACACACACACAGCAGTTTCACTTTCCAGAATTTTAGTTATTAAAGTCCAACTGTAGGATAGAAATACTAAGCTAAAAAATAAAGACAAAGAATTCCTAAGTTTCAAAGTTCATACTGTTCTGAATAGCTTGAGACGGTCTTCTGCCTCCAGCTCAGTCACACCCAGGACATGATTCATCCCTTTTGCTAGCATATCTTGATATATGTCACCAACCTGTTAGTCACTTAAAAATCTTCCTGATTACCAGGTCAACTGTCACGGTATCACTGCTTGTTTTCAAATGACTCTTATTTTGCTTACTAATAGCTCCAATTGCAAACTGTTATTACAGTATATTGTTATGAATATTCTAGTTTTATTACTAGTTATTAATTTACAAGTTAAACTTTCATAGGGATGTTTGTGTATAAGAAAAAACTGCATACAAAAAATTTGCTAGGAGCTGGGGAGATGGTTCAGGGGTTAAGAGCATTTATTGCTCTTGCAGAAGACCTGGGTTCAAGCCCCAGCATCCATACAGTGACTCACACCATCCATGACTCCAGCTTCAGGGGATCTCTCTTCTGACTTCCTTAGTTCCAGACATGCATGTGGTGCACATACATATATGCAGGCAAAGCACTCACACACATAAATAAATCTAAAAAGAAAAATCTTAAAGGTTTGCTATATTAGCAGAGTGTGATAATGCATGTCTGTAACCCTAATACTTGGGAGGTAGAGGCAAGAGAACCAGGACATCAAGGTCATCCTCAGGTATACAGTTAGTTTGAGGCCAGCCCAATCTGCATGAGATTCTGTCTCAAATAGTTTAATATTAGCCACAGTTTCAGAGATTTGCTGGGTATCTTCGAAGAAATCCTCTCAAGATAATGGGAAACTGACACTAGAATTTTATAATTTATTTTTATTTTATATATATTAGTGTTTTGCCTACAGTGTATGTCTGTCTGAGGATGTCAGATCTTGCAGTTACAGACAGGTGTGAGCTGCCATGTGGGTGCTGATAATTGAACCCAGGACCTCTGGAAGAGCAGCAAGTGCTCTCTCTTAACCACTGAGCCATCTCTCCAGCCCCTACACTATTATTTTAAGAGAGACAGCCTTACAAAAAATTGAAAGGGTTCTTGTGTGCAAACTTGGCACCTTGAGTTCAATTCCAGAACTTATGCAAACCGTGGCATAGATACCCCAGGGAATTCAGGATGGATGGTTGTAGCACTGTTAAGATTAAGAATGCTTTAAAAAAAAAAAGAAAGAAAAAAAGATTAAGAATGCTTTTGAAACTAGGGTGGGTAGAGCACAGGGTGAAGGCCAGTAATCCCAGCATTCCAGAAACTGAGGCCTGCCTGGGCTACACAGTCATACCTTGTTTGAACCCCACAATAGCTAGATTTTGATCTCAGTAAAATACACACCACCCCAATACTACACACAATTTCAAAGAACACGGAGACTCCTAGAAACCAACCTGTGAATTGTGAATCAATAGGTAAACCCACAGAAACAGACATGACAATGCAGAATATGTGTTGAGATTAGTAGAGATGGCTACAAAGTCTGAGGACACCCCAGCCGTCAAAGGGAAAGCATCCCTGACAAGACAGGAAGATTGAGGTGGGTGGGAAATCCACATGAGATGGAAAGGAAGAATGAGACTGGCAGAGATCCAACTTTTACCTCTCCTTTGGGCAGTGGACAAATGCAAGCACTGTTAAAATCATTACTAATATTCTAAAGTTCATTTTTATTTTAAGACAGGTTCCCATATATTCCAGGCTGACCTCTTCTAATTAGGGTGGCCTTGAACTTTTGATCTTCCTGCCTCTACTTCCAGGGTGCTAGGATTACAGTGATGAGCCACCAGGCCCAGTTTATGCGGTGCTGGGGAATGAACCTAGGACTTTGTACATGCCAGGGAAGCTTTCTACCAACCAAACTGCATCTCTAGCCCTAATCAAAAGCACTTGAAGTTCATATGAGCACACCTTCATTTTCAAGGGAATAAAGACATTGGGAGATGAGGCAATGTGATTTAAGTAGTAGTTGTTAGTCTCTTCTTTAAGCAGGCTACTCAGGCTCACTTAGTGGTCAGAGACAGTCTCCAGTGCCGGTGCCTGCTTTTGTGACATTAAGCTCAATAAAAGGTTTCTCTCGAGTATTTTTCTTTTCTTACCCACTTTCAATAGCCTCGGATGAGCTGGTAACAGCAATAAACACAGCAAGGAAATGGTAACATGGGCAGTATACCAGCAGGGGCAATGACACTCAACAGTCAGCAGGACACTAGGAGAGCAAGGCAGCAGGCTGCCCAGCAGACAGAAGAGCAGGCTGAGCAAGAAGAAGGGTGGTGGAGGTAGAGAAGGAAAGCAAAGAAGGAAGGCTGAGCAAAGAAGGCAGGGGAAGCCGGATTAAAAGCTCATGCCTTTATTCCCCCTCGGGAGGCAGAGGCAGGTGGATCTCTGTGAGTTAGAGGCCAGCCTGGTCTCCAGAGGGAGTGCCAGGATAGGCTCCAAAGCTACACAGAGAAACCCTGTCCTGAAA